CGTCATATCCTCTGTTCCGGCTCAGTGATTCACGGTACTCGGATATATTTTCACACACTATCCTTTCTTGTCAACTAAGTATCGATTAGTGTTGACTGCAGCTGTAGTTTTGCGAGATTAGATCCGCTTGCCTGTTGTTGATACGAGCCGGCCATCTTAAGGATCAGTACAACAGCACATATTATTAACTCGTTTTCCCTTTATTTTATGCATTTGCATTTCCTACTGTTTCTAAATCACCTAAATCAACCAGTTTTGGATTGGTCTTTGCTTCGAAGCCTGAGTGTTATGCTAGCCTGTCTGAAGTTATTGACTAGTTGATTTCAGAACCTCTACCTTCGGTAGGTGAGAAACATTGTTTTCCTGCTATCATTCGAATCTGAAGCTCGGCTGTTGTATACGTTTGAAAGCACCTTGCATACTGAAAGAGCTCTCCTTCATCGTTAAGGCTTGGATTAGTACAGGTAAGACCAATGACTTGAGATTGAGGCACTGGCAACCTGATCACTACTGGGCAACCCAGAGGACTGGGTGTCCTAAACATATTTATCCCTTCGCTGGCCGCTGATTTGCTTTCGATAAAGCCAACTTACTAAAAAAATGGGAGCCCCACTTCGTGTAGTGACATATAGTCGGCAGATCTTTTTAGTACCTGTGATTATATATTTTAGGTCCGTTCAGCGGAGGTATTGGCACCGTGTTCTAAGTTCTCTAACACCTGCTGTGTCGGTTGAAACTGTTAGGGATGCTGTCAGCATTACCTTATGTGCAAGTCGATTTGGAGTAATTTGCGACGGGGCAACAGGTCTCGCGGTACAAGTTGGCAGAATTCTCCTGCCAAGGCGGCCATTTGCAGGAGCACCCAAATCACTACAATATTCCCCGATTGCCTGTGAGAACATGCAGTATTAAGAGTAGGCGTCGAGAATATTTAAAGCAACGTTTCCCAGGTGCAAATTTAAAGATTGCAATAACAAGAAGATTTATTGGATCCATGGCATTTCGAGAGAGCTCTTCAGTTGCTGCCTCTCATTGCTTAACTTGAATCACGTAAAAGAAAATACAATTGAATTCATACAGAAAAAATAGATACAAACACAGGGTCATAAGAAATGGCCAAGAGGTTAATCAATGACATAAGAGGTCAAAACGCTATGGTCAGCACAAACGGGACAGACGTCTGAGGTAAAAAAATTTGGGAGGGTAATGTGTAAACAGGGAGCCAATGTTACCAAGGCAGAGTTAGGTTCACTACATGCTCCAGCTGTTTACATAGGTCGGGTTTGAACCGCCTACGGAGTGAACATCGTGCGGACCTTCGCTTCTGGAAAGGGAATATATGCCACCTTAGCTGTGATATCCGCAGAAGATGTAGAGACCACTGAGTACATAGTCCTGGAATGCCCTGGCTTCCACTTCATCCCGTTCGCAGACTGAAATTTCACTGAGGCGATTTCGAACCCCCTAATAGGACGTCGTTCCTCTGGAAGCGGTGACAAAAACCTGAACAGTATTACTCGACCCCTTACCTCTCAGATGCCGTAACTG